GAAAAAAAAGAGGGGGGACCTGGGCGCGAACAAGTCTGCTGCTGCTGCGTTGCGCTCGTCAGGTGGAGACGGCGTCGAGTCGGCCGTTGCGTCCCGTTTCATTTTCAGTCGGGTTAATCAGTAAAACTGATGCACGAGCCGGGGAAGAGGTTTGGCGCCTGGCTCCTCCCACAAACAATTATGCACTTCGGTTCAACAAATATCTAGGACAATCGTCGACTGGTTGCCAAGGAGCACTTTGTGATCCACGCCTACCTCACCCTGTCGAATAGACTCGGATCGGGCTCCCGAGCTCCTGTACAGAATACACGTCTACCGGTGTCCTAACCCTGATCCAAAGCAGGACTGGGCCGGAATTATTGTAGTGGTAAACGTACACCGAATGTCCTAGGGATGTCACATGCTGGGGAGGCGTGGCTTCACGCGCAGGCATTTGCCGCGCCAACTACCTGAGCACAATCTCTGCATCAGATGGCTGACCGGCCCGGACGATGATTCCTGGGGTAAGGGAGAGGGTGGAGTCGACTGTGGGGACTGCGACCCCACGGCACTCGACGCATATCCCTCACTACAAACCATCTGACGCACGGTGCACTAGGGTCCGTGCCATTGTAATTTTCCAACCAACGGGACAACTCAGCCCTCTAATTAGGACGAGGAGTCAGACAAAAAAGACTCCTACAGTGCGTGACCGATCTTATGAAATGTTAGCGAAAATCCTGGAATGCGCCTCCGATCAGGAAGGATTACTTAAGTGGGGTTGTTGTACTGATTATCATACAGCATAGCCCTATAACAGATCGGATTCGCTGGGATGTCGGCTTTTGAATGCACTTCTCTTTGACCTGAAGAAACCACACTCAGTAAAAATTACTACTTAAGTAACATGCGTTTTTTCCTATTGATTCTCGATGGTCTTATAAATTCAAATATTTTTTATAGAAAGCATGTACAAAAATATGCTTTCTTTCGCTAACTTGAAAGGAAATCGCATTAACTTCATATTTTATGCCCGAAGAAAGTGTGTATTTAACTCTTAGAAAAGTTCCCCGATTCCCGAATAATTTTCAGTCTGATCTGCCATTGCATCAGCTTTTAGCAATTTCAGTCTGCAAGGTGCATGCTTTCCGCGTAAGGAAAATCATATATTCCTCTCTGCCTTTAAGAAAGATACCACATAGAGTTCATGAAACTTTGCAATGGATCCGGACCGTGTTGTACATTTAATGAGGAGCATTAGTAAATGGACATGTTCGGTCTTGCATGCATGGACATCGCACGGCCTTAAAAATCTCATAATTAGAGACTTTTTTAAAACCTAAATACACAATTTCTTCGGACATAAAAAATGGAGATAATGTGATTTCCCTCCAAATGAGCAAAAGAAAACATATTTTTGTACATGTTTTCTGTAAAAATATTTGAATTTATAGGACCATGGAAAATCAATAAGAAAAATGTATGCCATTTAAGTAGTCATTTTTTTACCGAATGTGATTTCTACAGGAGGTTGAAAAGACGTACATTCAAAAGCTGACATCCTGGCGAGTCCGAAATGTTATGGGGTTATGCTGCATGATAATCAGTATACCAACCCCACGTAAGTAATCCTTCCTAATCGGATACGCATTCCAGAATTTTTGCTAACATTTTATGAGATGGGTCACGCACTGTATGGTACTTCCACCGAGCTGGAATCCGAGCCGCCCTTTTGGTTTTTGTGCAAAAACCCCGTCCACCGTACGCGGACAAGGTGCGTGTCGCACGCGCAACTAGGCTGTTTAGCCTTGTCATTTTTAACACCGTCCTCACTTGTGTGAGGAGGGAGTGCGGACGATGTGCTGCAAGTCCCGTATCAGCATAGGCTAATGTACGCTCAAGTCAATGCCTCTGCGTCAAACATGCAATGCTGCATGCGTTGGACATCCTCGGTAACGACCGTTGAAGTCTGTTGTCGCTTCTTTGAAGACGTTCGCCATCCAGCACTTCGAGGTGCCTGCCTCAGCAAAGCACAGGGACTGAGGATTTCGGTTCGGTCGGGGATTTGTGTCAGGGGTTCTATCTTGTCATCGCAGCGTCGGTGTTCCTTGGAGGCAGCTTTAGAGGAGACGATCGAGTCTCCTCGCCGGTTCCTCTTCGACTGACCAGGTCTCCGCTTCATAAGGCTGTGTGGTCAAGATGACAGCTTTTTACATCTTGAGTTTAATGTCGAGGTGCAGACCGTGACTATTTCAGACGTCGGCCTACAGCCGACCTACGAACTGGTTGGTTTTGGAGGTCCGCTGGCCACTTCTTTGTCGATATTGGTGCCGCATGAAAGGGTGCTGCCTAAGAAGGCAAATGCACCCACTCTTTTGAGTTAGGTGATGCGAGGATCGTTAGATTCAGTGTTGGCGGCTGGCCCATGACCACCATTTTATTCGTTCATTGCGTCGTTGGCGTGGCATGTGTGGCACGTTCTGGACATTAGAATTTCAGCATGACCCGCTATAGTCATAAAATAAGCAAAAAATACGAAGGTTATCTGTTTTCCTTCCAAATGAGCAAAAGAAAGCATATTTTTTTACATGTTTTCTATAAAAAATATTTAAATTTATAAGACCATCGAGAATCAATAGGACAAAACGCATGTTACTTAAGTAGTAATTTTTACTGAGTGTGGTTTCTTCAAGTCAAAGAGAAGTGCATTCAAAAGCCGACATCCCAGCGAATCCGAACTGTTATAGGGCTATGCTGTATGATAATCAGTATAACAACCCCACTTAAGTAATCCTTTCTGATCAGAGGCGCATTCCAGAATTTTTGCTAACATTTCATGAGATCGGTCACGCGCTGTATGCCCAGCTCGCAGCTAGAGATGCACTCCTGCTAACACAGACATACGCATTACGTCAACATGCATTCCTGCGTAAGCGATTTTCCGGTACTGACGCCCTCTTACACAAGCAAACAGCCTATTGTCGGCAACCTACCTTGTATACTGAATAAACCTGTTCTCACAGCTCCCTGACTTCTGATATTAGACGGAACAAAATTATTGTGTGCGGTTACAGTTTCTCTTACGTTCTTCACCACCACAAATTGGCGACTCCGACTTGATCGATGCGCAATTTTCACACGTGGCTGAAGTCAACCGTCACAAAGTTCCCACTCGACTTCACCCTGCTGTTTTCCTGCGCCACTCATCGTGTCCACGAACAGGAAAACGCAGTTGTCGACACCCTGTCGCGACTCGAGGTGAATATTACCAACAAAACTGAGCCATGCAAGTCCCGGTAAGATCTCAACCAAACTTCGTAGAGCGGAGCCCCAAATATGTTGTCATCTGAACGCTTCTCTTCTGCCCATGACATTCATCCACCCATTACCAACGAGACCATCATTCACGAGTTGCCTTCGTCCACTCTTATACTACTGTGTAGACGACGATGAACTTTCACACTTTCGACACCGCATTCTATCTCTATTTTTGAGCATGGACAATACTGAGCCTATTTCTCTGACGCGCTCGTCCGACTCAGCCCTCACTGGGATGCACTGTACTCGAAATGACCTTTCCTCTCATGCCAACTCACCGGCACACATTGACGAAACCACGCCAGCACATCCATAGTTGATGCTTCAACTGCTCCTCTATATAGGTCGCAACATCACCATTCGTACGCGGCCCGAGCTGCACCTGTCATCACCGCACACGCTCTCGAACCCGCAAGTTCACTGGATATATGCGTTCATTTCATCGTCTGTCTCACGACCGACACCTTCACTTCGTTTACTGTCTGAAGGGAGCTGTTGCGGACAGCCATCATGGCATTGTCGCGCCTCTCGTTAGTGCCTACACCCGCGCATCATCGACAGACTGCATTAGCATGCACGTCTGCCTGGCTTCGATTAGTTTCGTTGCAGTTCTGTCCACACCACACTTCTGATCGAATCTCTTCTTGCACCATGCGAGGCTTGTCATTACCCACGTGAGGGCTTGAAGCCAATCAACGCAACTCCTTTGCTGATCGATAACACGGGTGGATACACGAGACCAGTGGTGTAAAAAAACCTTCACAACACTCTTGCGGGGGCGGCGGCGACGCCGGACGCACAGTTGTCTGGCTGCCAGCCTTCCTCCTTTATTTTGTACAGAATAAATCCCCTTTCTAACTGGCGTCTCACATCTTCTCCTTACAACTTGGGATTTTGTCTGAGGATTGCAGCACACTGAGCACCCACTCACACCGCCTAGCTGCTACAGACCTAAGGCGACGTGTGTGTGGGTGTGGGGTGTAGGGGTGCCCAGCGGTGGGTTCACGTGATGGCCGTAGTGGTCGCTGGTGCAGACTACGCCTAACGTCCATTCGCTGGCACCCTAATCTCGCATGTGGCTCCACGTAGCTGGGCTCTGTTCAGTGGCCGCATCCCGGGCAACCGCCTCGACCGGCGACCTAAATCAAGTGAGGACGGGTACTCCGTGTGCGCGTTGTGCCCGTGCACAGGGTATTGCGGACTCTGCTGGACGGTTGGTCGGATGGAACACCGCGTCGGCACCGTCGTGACGATATTCTGTCTGGTACGCCTTTGGTCGGCTGGTCAGACTGAATTTCCCATCAGCATCGTGGAGACGAGAATCCGTTTGAAACGCCGGTTGTCGGCTGATCGGATGGAACTTCGCATCGGCATCGTCGAGACGCGGATCCGTCTGGTGCACCGCAGTAGGCCACGATTTTACGGCGGTTGTAAGCTTTAGGCAAATTCGAGTCGTTCTTCCACTAAACCATAGTCACCAACGATCGCCTAATGAGCCTTCGCCTGTCTCTCCGGGGAGGCAAATTCGCCACCATCATCAGCGCCTACGCTCCGCCGATGAGCAGCCCCGACGCCGCCGCCGCCGCCGCCGCAAGAGACAAGTTCTACGAGGACCTGCACGCCCTCTTGGCGACTGTGCCGAAGGCGGACAAGTTGATGGTCCTTGGTGACTTCAACGCCCGCGTCGGCACAGACCATACTGCCTGGAGAGGAGTGCTGGGTCCCCACGGTCTCCGCGGCTCAAACGACAATGGTCTGCTGCTTCTCCGCACCTGCGCAGAACACCGCCTCATCCTGACGAACACGTTCTTCTGTCTGCTGGAGCGAGAGCAGGCCACCTGGTGGCATCCTCGATCGCGTCAGTGACACCTGCTGGATTATGTCCTCGTCCGGAGGCGAGACCAGCGGGATGTGCTGGTGACGAAGGCGATCGCGGGTGCTGACGGGTGGACCGATCATCGCCTCGTCATCTCGAAGATGCGTATTCGCCTACAGCCTCGCAGGAGACCGCAAGGTAAGCGACCCCCAGGTAAGCTGAATGCTGCCTTGTTGCCTTTGCCCGCTCACCATCTTCATTTCAGAAGTGAGCTAGCTCAACGACTAGACAACCTCCCAACCACTGCCGCTGGCGCCGCGGACGCCGCCGCTGCCGAGAACGCCTTCTTGGAGGAGCGATAGTAATGGAAGCGAAGAGACGAGTCCCAGGAAGCGGTCTTGAAGAAGAAGAAGAAGAAGAAGAAGAAGAAGAAGAATAACAAGAACAAGAAGAAGACACGATCGCCGGGACAAGAGCTTTATTAGCCTGACGTTTCGGATTCCGACTCGAATCCATCATCACGGACACAAGCAGATAAGGGTGGTTCATGCACATGCGGCTGCAGTATTTATAGAATGCAGTAGCCATGCTACCGCATACCTATTAATATTCACGGCTCCATCTCCTTCTTAAGGGATCGTTGCACGTGGCGTGATGGCCGACATTCGCGTCGTTAATTGCTGCAATTTCATCACGTGCGTTGGATGTTGGTGTGATGATTGCTCGACCATCTGATGCGCTGACCCGGGTGTTGGGAAGAGTGTTCACCTGTGCGCTCCCCGCGTGGTCAATTACTCCGCCTAGACGAAGTCTCAGCACGGTGTATTGAATGGGAAGATCATTGCACTTGTTAATAGACTGAGGCCAGTAAACCATGACTGAAGCAGCACCCGGCTCACGCGGTTGTCACCTCTTGCAAGAATTTCGGCCTCATCAAATTCTAATGTGTGGCCGGAACCCGTCGAATGAGCCGCAACTTGAGAGCTGGCGTCATTTCTCCGCACCACTGCAGCGCGTTTGGCCATTCGCGTTTGGAGTTGTCTTCCGGTTTCTCCGACGTATTTGCTTTGTCCGCATCTGCACCAGATCCGATAAAGGACTCCAGACGTTTCTTGCCGTGGCAGTGGGTCTTTTGGTTTCATCAACTGACGCCTGGTGTTTGCCTCCGGTCCGTGTGCAACTCCAACCCCAAGTGGTGCGAGAAGGCGGCCGACAGCTTCCGAAACGTTCTTGACATGTGGAAGTGCTCGCCAAACTTCCGTGCGATTAGGCCTTTCTTCCATTTTGCGTATGCACCGGTTGATAAAGTTGCGCGGGTAGCCATTGGCTTTGAAGACCCGTCGGACGTATTGTAGTTCGGCAATTTTGTCTTCCGGCTCACTGCAGTGCGTTTCGACACGCCGATAGAGCGTCCTTACACAACTGCGTTTGTGACTGATCGGGTGTTTGTTGTTGAAGTTCAGTACTTGCATCGTATTTGTCGCGTTCCTGAACACTTTTGTCTTTAGTCCACCACAATTCTTGTGGCATACGAGAACATCGAGGAAGGCCAGCTGGTTTTTCTCTTCCTCCTCCATCGTAAATTGTATGTGTGGGGAGACTGCATTCAGACGTTCCTTGAATGTCAGCAGTTGATCCCTGTTGACAACGACGAATGTATCATCCGCATACCGGGCCCAGGAGGAAGAGAACAACCAGCTGGCCTTCCTGGAACCGCAACGAATGGAAGAACTTCTTCTCTGCGATCAAAGCTGTCTACGGTCCGTTAATGAAGGGCACTGCTCCTCTCCACTGCGCCGACGGCAGTACCCTCTTGACTGAGAAGATCCAAATTCTACACCGATGGCCCGAGCATATGCGTGACGTCCTCAACCGCCCGTCACCATATCCGACGCCGCCATCACCCGTTTGCCGCAAGTGGAGACCAATGTGGACCTCGACCTCCCGCCCCTCTACATGATACCATCGGGTCGTGCAGCAGCTCCCCAGCGGGAAAGCGCCCGAATCGGCCGCGATCTCAGCTGAGGTCTACAAGCACAGTGGTTCCCAACTGAAGGATCAGCTGACTGCGCTCATCCAGGAGATGTGGCGTCAAGGTGAAGTCCCGCAAGATTTCATAGGCGCCACCAGCGTGCATCTCTACAAACGAAAAGGGAATCGTCAACATTGCGACAATCACATCGGCATTCCCTTTCTGAACATCGTCGGGAAAACTTCGCTCGCATTCTCCTCAAACGCCTGAATAATCATCTCGAACAGGGCTTTCTACCGGAAAGCCAGTGCGGCTTCCACTGTCATCGCGGGACCATGGATATGATCTTCGCCTCTCGCCAACCTCAGGAGAAGTGCCAGGAGATACGGACCCACCAGTGCTCTTCCTTCGTGGACCTGACGAAAGCCTTCTAAACTGTGAATCGTGAAGGACTGTGGAAAAGCATGCAGAAATTCGGCTGTCCCGAGCGATTAATTCTGATGCTGTGTCAACTCCACGATGGCATGATGTCGCGCGTCACGGACAACAGAGCTGCCTCGGAGGAATTCGCAGTGACTAACGGAGTGAAGCATGGATGCGTCCTGGCACCAACCCTCTTCAGTCTTATGTTCACTGCCATGCTAATGAACGCCTACCGTGATGAACGTCCCGGGATCCGCATCGCCTACAGTACGGACGGTCACCTCCTGAATAAACGGCGGATGCACTTCCAATCGCGCGTCTCCACAACCACCGTTCACGAACTTCTCTTCGCCGACGACTGCGCCCTGAACACCACCTCGGAAGAGGAGATGCAACGGAGCATGGACCTGTTCTCTGCCGCCTGCGAGGACTTCGGTCTGGTCATCAATACGCAGAAGACATTGGTCACGCATCAACCGTCATCCAACACAGCCACTCCTCCCAACGCGCCGCAAATCAGCGTGAACGGAACCCAACTGTAAGTGGTGGAGAACTTCCCGTATCTGGGCGGCACCCTCTCCCTTAACACCAAGATCGATGACGAAGTCGCTCGCAGGATCTCGAAAGTCAGTCAGGCCTTCGGCCGCTTCCAAAGCACAGTCTGGAATCGTCACGGTCTCCAACTGAACACGAAGCTGAAGACGTACAAGGCCGTCATCCTGCCGACGCTGCTTTACGGAGCGGAGACTTGGACAGTGTACGCAAAGCAGGCACGCCGATTCAACCACTTCCACCTCACTTTTCTTTATCGTATCCTGAGGCTGAACTGGCAGGATCGAGTCTCCGACAATGATGTGCTGGAACGGACGGGAATCCTCAGCATCTACACCATGCTGAGACAAATGCAGCTGCGCTGGAACGGCCACCTCGTGCGTATGGACGACGAGCGGCTTCCCAAACGACTCTTCTTCAGAGACTTCGCCACGGGTTCCCGCCTCCAAGGAGGTCAATTTCGCCACCAAATGGATACTCTGAAGTCCTCCCTAGAGAGTTTGCAAATTAACCCGTCCAAGTGGGAAGACCTCGCCCTCCACCAAGCGACCTGGAGGAGGAGAACAGTGAAGACAGGCGCTGCGATCTACGAAGCCAACTGCATCGCCGCCGCAAAAGTCAAGCGCAAAGCACGCGATTCCCAGCTGCGCCCAGTACGCAACGCCGCCACACAACCGCTTCCAACGTGTCCTCGGTGTCAACTGGCATTCCGGGCACGAATTGGACATATTGGACACCTTCGAGTCAACTGCGCCTCTCGGATCGCACCAACCGTCGTCCCTCCGCCCGCCTCTTCCTCGTTTTCTCCTTCGCCAACTGACTCTGACTGTTCTTTTGAATCATCACTTCCATCCTCCTCATCTTCCTCCTCCTCCTCTTCCTCCACTGCCCCAACTGCGGCCGCTCTGTCGGCTGTCGGGCACATCAGCACCAAGCACA